GATACAATGGCACCTTTCCCCCATGGTGGCAAGTCCTTGAAGTCCCCCATCAATTAGCCTGACAAGAGGTGGCAGACATACGGTACACACACAAGCACTGCATGTCTGGTGTCTGTTCAGGGTTAGTTTTATCACTGCTAGCTCCAAGGCTGAGCAACTCATTTCTTCTTTCCTGGCCTCAGAGCCCCCGACTCTGAAACGGAGATGACATCACATCTAACATGCAGGGCCTCCCTCTTTTTTTTTTTTTAATGTGACAAGATGTGTGGAAAACAGTTCATTCATGTTGTTATTCTATTCATTCCCTTTCCTAACTGAAATAGTTACCAGTATCTGCATTTCCTAGAATACTTTTGGGATCAACTTTGAAACACTCTATTTTTCATGGTTATCATGAAGTACCTGTAGCTAGGTAACTTGTAATTTAAAGGGGTCTGTTTAGCTCACAGTTCAGGAGGCTTACAGTTGAAATAGCACAGCATTGACTCTTATGAGGGCTCCTTCATTACGTCACACAATGGCAACAGCATCAAAGCATAAGGTTCTCAAGGGAGACATCCCATGAAAGACAGGCAAGGGCCAGTCTGGCTGTTTCATAGCGATCTTTTTAAGAACTAACAAGGGTTCCCAAAACAACTACCTTAACCTCTTCTAAGTGTAGGGCCTTTTGTGACCAAATGACCATTGGGCCTTACTTCATTGAAGTCTCAACATCTAACAGCACTATGCTGGGAGTTAACTAACACAAGCCATACCCAAATGACAGCACTCTCTAAGCCTTGCTTGCTACATTTATAAAACAGAGATAATCTCCTTATACAGAGTTATTTTAAGAATCATATATTCCACCAGGAGGTGGCAGTGGATGCCTTAAATCACAGCACTCGGGAGGCAGAGGCAGGTGGATCTCTGTGAGTTTGAGGCCAGCCTGGTCTACAGAGCGAGTTCCAGGACAGCCAGGGCTACACACAGAGAACCCCTATCTCAAAAAAATAAAACAAAAAAGTAATACATTCCCTATGGCAAGCATCCGTTATAGTTCAATAACTATTTGTCGAGAAAGCATCACACAGTACCATTTAGTCAGACTGTGACTGCAAAACTCTGTATTATCCAAGCTTTTCAGTGTTGTCAAGCTTTCTAATTTGTACTGGTTACTTTGGGACTGTGAAGGCTTTGCCCACACGGAAAGAAACATGGCACCTTGTCACATTCTACCTCTCTGGAGAGGGGCCTGCTATGACCTGGGAGGAGAGAATGGGAGACGCTGGGTGCGTGGACAAAATGCAGACATTTCTAAGGGTCCAATGACTTACATTAAAGCATACACGTTCAATATTGAATGATAATGCGTGAGGTCCAATCTCCGTGGGTTTTTATAATTAATCTTTGATTAACAAACACTACATTTCTTAGTTGAATTGCCTACTGAAACCAGCAAAACAAAAATCCAGGCATTCCTAGAGCCCTTGAAGCAGAACGATCATGGGTTCTGACCTATTCCAATTAGTAACCACTGGGATCCAAAAGTCTTGTGTCCTGGGGCTGCCCATGAGATGACGAAAGATAGCTTCTGAGAATGGTCTCCCTAGGTCTCTCGTTGGGCAACGTGGATTTAACTAATCCCATGATCCCCTCCTTGAGACATCCATCATTTCCAAAGAACAATGGCATAGTCTCCTTCTCTGAAAGCAGGAGGAAAAGCAACTACTAAGTTAAAAAACGGGTGGGTTTTCTTGTTATTAAAAACCCCTGTGAAACTTCACATCACTGGATAAGCATGCTGGAAATATGTATGTGTTGAGTTTCTAAAAAAGAACAGAAAGCAGGGACAGGCAAAGAGGGCGAAGACAGGGAACCAACAGTAGAGACCAGAAGAACATATACCTTAATAAATACCAGAGACTCCATTTAACAGAACGTAAATTCAAAGCCCTAAGATCCTCCTTCAAGAATTCCAAGGTGGCTGGAGCTCTGGGGAGAATATTATTATTATTATTAGAAGGAAAGGGAGAGGAGGCAGGGAGATGGCTCAGCTGGTCCAGTGCTTACCATAGAGCTTGAGGACCTGAGTTCAGCCCCCAAATTAAAAAACAAAAAAGTATGGTGGCAGAGGCTTGTATTCCCAGCCAGCATGGGGAAGTGGAGACAGGTGGATCTTTGGGGCTTACTTAACAGCTAGCCTAATTTAACTGTAAGCCCCAGATCCCAGGGAGAAGCCTTGTCTCAGAAATGGTGGATAGCTCTTAAGGGACAATTATGGAGGTTGGCTTTTGGCATCCGCGTGCACACAGAGACACACACACACACACACACACACACACACACACACACACACACACACACACACGCACACACACACACAAGCACACACACACGCACACACACACACACAAGCACACACACTCACACACACGCACACACACACGCGCACACACACGCACACACACAAGCACACACACACAAGCACACACACACACACGCACACACTCACACACACACACAAGCACACACACGCACACACTCACACACACACAAGCACACACACACACACACAAGCACACACACACACAAGCACACAAGAGCACACACTCACACACACACAAGCACACACACACGCACACACACACACACAAGCACACACACACAAGCACACAAGCACACACACAAGCACACAAGCACACACACACAAGCACACACACACGCACACAGCACACAAGCACACACACACACAAGCACACACACACACGCACAAGCACACACACACACACACAAGCACACACACACAGCACACACACGCACACACACACACACACACACACACACACACACGCACGCACACACACACACACAAGCACACATGCACGCACGCATTGAGGACAGATGGAGAGAATGAAGAGATATTCTTACTGTTGAAGACACACTAACAATGGTATCACCCATTCAAAGACAAAAGAGCACTGTTCTTCACAAACTGGTTACTAGGCTACAAAATCAGAATTATTGGGACAGGTGTGGTGGCACATTACTTCAATCTCAGCACTTGTGAGACAGAGATTGGTGGATCTCTGAGTTCAAGGCCAGTCTGGTCTACATGGCCGATTCAAGCCATCAAGGACTACATATGGAGACCTTGTCAGATTTCTAATGTTGTTGTTATTGCTATTAAATGGGGGAGGGGAGGAACTGGTGTACCTGGGCCCTGGGAGATGTGCAATGCAGGCTCACTGCTGACCTGACCTTTCAGCATCTGTCACTGAAGAGTTGCTTGTTGGATGTATTTGATCATTTCTTTGCTGAGTCTCTCTGAGTTTTATCTCCTTCTCACATGGAGGTCAGGTGGCTGGCCTGGCTCATCTCTGTATCCCTCTTGACTCTCTAAGGGCTTATGGGTCTGGGGTTATGTCCAGCTGAGAGTACAACAGGACCGCTCACATTCTTCACACCTCGGTCCCCATCATTTAAACAAGGAAGGACATGCGCTATGTGGTTTAAAAATCCCCCATGCTGCCCCACTGACTTCATTCTCACTTGTCTTTTGCTTACTGGTGGCAAGGAGTTAATCATTTTCCTACCCAGGTACTTGCTTTCACTTGAACCAGGTTTAATTTATACATAGCTTTGCTATGACTTTCTGCTCTGGCTCAGGCTGGCAGTGCTCCAAATTTAGATTTAAAGGGAGAGTGTGATTCATGTGTTCCTACCACTCTACTGGCCCCTCAAGGCTCTCCCTGGCTTCCAATCATAATCCCTTCCCTCCCAGGTTGCTCCCTACCTGGAGTCCCAGCCCAGGTATAGGTATTCAGTTAAGTTTACTGGACAACATAAATACAAACTTGAAGTAACCTGCTCTTGTTATACTCCCAGTACACCACAACTAAAAAATGCACCCTCAATTCTTGGGACCTCCCTTCTTGGAAACACATTATGGTTTGTAAAAATTTATGGTTTGATAATAATTCCAAATCACAAAAGATCTGAAAAAGTAGAAATAACACAAAGACTAGCACGTGTGCTTTATCCAGATTTACCTTTTGTTAAGGTTATACTCCATTTTTCATCTGCATATGGGCTCACTTTTACATGTAGGTAACTCTCTCCTGCTTCTGTATTTTTCCCAGAATCATTAATAACAATACACTATGCCCTTTCATAAATGAACTGCACCTTTAAAGGCGACAGACTTTACCACTGACATTTTCAAATCCCTTCCTTATATCTATAAAATAAAAAAATTGTGCAAAATAAAAAGAACCCTTCTCTTGGGTACAAAATAAGGAAGAAATCGGTTTCAGACAGGATAGCAAGAGTACATTAAACACTAAGTATGAGGTATTTGATAGGTGTGTTTCAGGATGGCAAGTGGACCAGCCTAGGAAAGGTGTTGGGACTGAGGCCTCCTGCTTCCCCTCATGTCCAACTCATCTTATTCATAAAATTGCTTTAATCCTAGCTAAAAGGCAAACAAACGAACAAACACCTTTATCTTATCCTAGAAGGCTGGAAAAAAATCCTTAAGCTAACCAGGCACGTGGACTACTGCTAGAGTCCACTCTCCGGTGGGAACACAGAGTACCTCAGGGACATCACTGCTGTACAGAGTCCACAAGTTCCAGAAGACAGAAACATCAGAAGAAATGCTCCTAAACCAGCCATCTTCCGTGTCTTACTTCCTCCCCCGGGGATAAAGCATGGCCATGCAAGTCTACTCACGAGACAAGGAAAGGGAAGGACTAGCCCACTACCTCTCTAGTTTTTTTGTAAGCCTCAGAAGGGCAACAATGACCACCTCTGACGCCCAGCCCAGGATGGGAGAGTCTCCTCTCTGAGCACTTCCCCCAGAACGTTCCCCTTGGTTGCCAAGCTCACATAACAGTGAGCGCCCAAGAAGAGGGACGAAATCAGGCAAGTCGCTTCCACCATGCACCACCAGGGATTCCAGGCCTTTCTTCCTTCTGGTTGACAGTGCTTACTTGTTACTACTCGAGGTAAACAGAATTGGTCTCTGGGTCCTCTGGGGACTTTCTTTTCAAAACCACTGTTTCCAAATCCTTTCCTTGTAACAACTACAAAATCATCAGACAGGACCTCTTAGGAGCAAATTTTCCTTAAGGAATTAACTTCAAAACATTTAAAAATATATAATAAAGTAAGTAGCAAACGCGAGTTCTTTTTAAACTTTACAAAGTCTAGACATGTTTAAATCAACAGGACTCTATTGTCAAGGTAACTCCAAGGTAACTCTGAATAAATGAATCCAAAACATTTACCTTGTACTGACCCCCCAAGTACCTCTCCGATCTCTGCATTTTTTTAAAGTATGGATAGTGACACTAAGGTAGATTTTTAAAGTGGAAGGAACAGAAGGAAATAAGTATGCCTCAGAAGTCCACACACAAAGTGTTTGTACAGCAAGAGCTCTAGAAAGACATGTGAAAACACGAACTTCACTTGCAAGCAGGCAGGCAGGGAAATGCAGGACAGAGGGGTAAGAGCCCCGAAGGTGCCGGGGTTTGGCTCTGGGCAAACAAAAGGCACCATGATCTATCTACCTTTCTTGGATGCCCTGCGCCGAATCTTCATCTTGGGGAAGGAAGGCCAGGAATAGTTGAATGGTGAGTCGGAGTCAGAATCCATTGTTTGTTTGGGTGAAAGGATCAGCTGAGGCAGAGGAGAGAAGGCAGACTGTGCCCAGCCAGGAGCCTCCCTGTGATGTCAAAGGCGGGAATGGGGCTGGGTGAAACAGCTCCAAACTCAGGGAGGGAGAGGCAATAAATGTTTTGCTTCCTTCAGGCGTTCAGGCATGTAGACCAACAAGGAGGCTGTAAATATTAAAGCCAAACCAGAGAAGCCGGAGGGGGAGAGCGGGGGACCTGGAGTCTGGCTGATACATCGCAGTCCAGTTATTCAAAAGGTCACCAGGGAGCAAATGAATCATTAACTCCCCTCTTCTTGTGGCTAGATATGGCAATGCAGAAGGAAGGGAGCCAAGATGAGAAACAACGCTGCTGCCTGCGATTCAGGAAAAGCTTCCCAAGGCAGGAACCTGTTTTGCTGAGAGCTAGGAAATCGTTTCTTTGGAAAGCTCCACTAGGCTATGAGAAGAACGCAGCAGTCTGTGTGTGGAGAGTCGGGTCCCCAGCAAACGCAAGCCAGGATCCTCACCTCCAGAGAAGCTACGCCATCAGCAGCTTGGGCAGGCTTGAGGGTGTAACTGATAGTTTATTTAACAGGCTGGTCCTTTCAGTCCTAAAGTGGTCAGACTCCTTCAACTTCTTATGCCATGGTGCTCTGCTCCTAACAACCACCCAGTCACCTCTAACTGTTTAACGCTTACTACTGTTTGTTACTGTCATTTGTTTGTTTGTTTGTTCCCTGAACTGCCACCAAGTTTAGCAGTCAGCCCTAAGGATTTAGGTGACTAGCTCAGTTCTAAACTTTCAGTCCATCTCAATATGCTAATGACTCATTTGCCACAAACCAACAATTCCTGCAGCTCCCCCACACGCTTTCCAGTGATTCGCATTCAGTGGAAGCCCACGCTGCCTCCCATAAATCATGCTGCCACTCACTGTTTTTCCCTACCTCTACAGGCGCACAGAGACGTGTGACCCAAATAAGATCAAGCCGAGGTCTACAGAGGACTCTCCTGTAGGAGTCTCTCAAAGCACTCCACATGGATGGAACGCCAAGAAGTCCTGTGTTTTGTTCTGTTTTGGGAAGCCTTGGAGTGCTCAGCAAAACTAAAGGAAACAACTGGAGGAGCCATTCAGCCCTGCAGGCTTGACCACGACAGCGTGTGTCTTCATTAGCATTCTTCTCTTCAACTATTTCTCCAGCCGTCGGCGCCAGTGCTGTGCTGTGGAGGAAACAGCTCCACAGCTTGCTCTGTGGTAGCTAATCCTCTGACTAGGGAGGAGTGAGGGAGGAGCACAGGCTGGCATAAAAAGTGGAAGGGACTATGGAGTGTAAACTCAAGTCAAAATCGGAATTATGTAAATTACGCTTGTGGTTTCATGTGGTTTTCTAAATAATTAGGAGACTGTAACAAAATACAGCTAGAATATAACTGCAAGGATTGAGCCTAAAGGAAAAGTACTTTTTCTATGTTGTAGCCTTTTATCTGAAGAATAAATCAAACATTTTTTCTTGAACAGGTGGGTACAATTGTAAGAATACATTATTCTCAGCTTTCAACACCAAGTAAGAGGGTTTTAATCTATATGATCTTTAATAAGAAAAAAATAGACAATGGAATCAGGGAGATGGCTTCAAGGCTAACAACCCAAGTTCAATCCCTGGGACCCACATGATGGAAAGAGAGAACCAACTCCTGCAAGTTGTCTTCTGACTTTCACATGTATGCCATGACATATGAATCTCCCTCACCAATAAAAATTTAAAACTTAGAGGTGTGTGTTTGTATACCAAATATGATCAAATAAGAAGAGGCTATCAACTTGAGGGGGATATTAGAGAGGTTTGATGGGGGTAGCTAGGAGAGGTAAAAGGGTAGAAAGGGAAAGGGAAATGATAGAATTCATTTTCAATTAAAAATAGTCATTTTTTAAGAAACCAAAATAGACAAGAGTAACTGGTAGCTAGAAATGTAGCTCAGTTGATAGAGTGTTTGTCAAATATGCATTAAGTCCTAGGCTTGATCTCCGAATAGCATGGCCGTGATGGTGCAGGTCTAGAATCCCAACACTTGAAAGGCAGAGGTAAGAAAATCAGAAGTTGGCTGCATAGGAAGTTTCAAGCCAGCCAGAGCCACATGAGATGCAGTTTCGTGTACAGAGCCAAGGAGCATGCCTGGAGCCTTGTAGGCATTTGTTAAATGAATGAGTCATACAAGTGGTCACAACCTGTGGTAAAAAAAACTTACATGACAGCTGCAATAATTGTGGCATCTACTGACTACAACTATATATTTTGATAAAGTACAATGATTCTTAAAATTGTTTAAAATATTTATGTAATAAAAGTATCTGCCTTTGTAAAAAGAACATCATCTATCAATAAAGATAATGTCTAGTTTCCTAAGACTTCCAATAACACTTGGATGTTGTGTGACCACAAGCTGCTTCCAAGGTGCCTCTAGGCTGAAGAGATGGGAGCTCACTCACATAGCCTGAAATACCATCAGGACATTGCTACCCTACTTCAGCTACACTGTCTCTCGACGAGATCCCCAGGCTGTTGGAAACACTGGTGTTCTCATACCCAGTCACTGCTGGTGGTTTCTTAGCTCCTTACTTCACCAAGACATGGGGATGCTACACTTATTATGCTGTCCTGGTAATTTGCAAAAGAGGGAGCTAGGCATTTAGTAAAATAGCAAATGCAACAAGCATGCCATCCATGCAGAGTCCCTAATTTGTTGTGCTTAAGGTGGCCAGAATGTGATGACACGCTCAGGCTTCAACAGCATGGGCAGCAGTCCAGGCCAAGATTTCCTCGGAGGCATCATCAGCATGGGTGAGGCAGACAAGGGGCAGAGTGTCCACTACCATGCAAACAACTGGATTTCTACTCCAACAAGGGGCAGAGTGTCCACTACCATGCAAACAACTGGATTTCTACTCCAACGGGGGTGCGGGAACCTGTACTAAGAAGGAGTACCACCCCATCCCAGATGAGTCTCAGGTTCAGTGACACTTTAGAGCCACAGAACTAGGCAATAGGTAAGTATAAGTCAAGAATTTACAGGAATGGCTGGAGAGATGGCTCAGCAGTTAAGACTGTTTGCTGCACTTACAGAGGATTTAAGTTCAGTTCCCAGCACCCACACTAGGAAGCTCACAACAGCCTTATATCTCCAGCTCCACAGGATCCAATTGCCTCTTCCAGTCTTAGGGTACCTGTACTCACACAAGCAGGCACATGCATGCCCTTACACACACATGCACATACAAAAAATTTATAATAAATCTTTTAAAAGAAGTTACTGGAGCAGATGTTCCTCCCTTGACTATCATTTGTAATAATAAGTCAGAAGAGCTTAAGAAAACACAGCTAGAGAGAGGCATGGAGGAACTGGGGGCAGGCATTTCTATAGTAGGTCTGTCTTAATCTGTTTTCCTAGCCACACAATCCTTGTTGACAAAGTACAGATCAATTACTGTATGGAAATTTTCTGACAATAAAAGAGCCTGCAACACATGTGAAAACAGCTCTGCGATCTAGAGACTCTCCAGAGTCCTTGTTTGCCTTAATCTATCCACATTATTTGAAGAAACAGAATGAGTTGCACTTACCAGCCCTGAAGTAACATGGAAAATGAAGTAGAAAATGTTACTTGCACAGCCTGTTTTATTTTTAGGTCAGCTCAATTTCTTGCTTTCCAAAGACTCCTTAAATGTATGTGTGGCATTTACCCTCATTGTTTCCTACTGTAATGGGAGCAACATTTTCTTTCCCTCTCCCTCCTTCCCTCCATCTCTCTCTCTCTCTCTCTCTCTCTCTCTCTCTCTCTCTCTCTCTCTCTCTCTCTCTCTCTCTCTCTCTCTCTCCATTTTGTCAATTTAACTGCACTTACATTAATTCAGGGTGTTATTTACATCTCATTCATATTCAAAAGATACATTTCTTAAATTTCTTTGCTTTGTCTGATTGGCTGATTGCAACTGCAGTTGGAAGAATTTAATGATACAGTCTCCAGTCACTCTGTAAGTAGTCAATACACAACCATTACAGTAGTGTGCAGGTGACTTCATGGGCTACACCTTCACCTCCCTGTGCTTCTTTAATTAACAAAGGTTTTACTGAGCAAAGCAGCTCCACCAGGTTCATATCATCCAAGACAGACACTGCTGCCTTCAAGTTACTGCTTTCTGAAGGATCCATGAGAAAATATCCCTCCACATTCTTCATATGGACAACAGGTCACTTTCCTCCTGACCGTGGTAAGACTAAATCTTTTCAAAAGAATACTAATGTGGGATTTGATGAACAGTAGTTGTGAATTTGGGATACCAAATCCTCGAGTCTGACTCATATTTTAAAGGTACCTTATGCTACAAGAAAAATCATGAGCATCAGCAACATATACATGGCAGTTCTAGCGTGTATCCTTAATCATGGCATGGCACTCATATGTTCTGAATCTTAGCACAGTCAAAATAGGATCATAACATCTATACTGCAGGGGTTATCATGAGGAATACAGGAGATTATAGCATAAGGAAACTAATGACATTTCCATTATACTTTAAATGTTACATAGAATTCGTTTCCTTTCATTGTATTTCTACAGTGTACTACTGAAGTATTCACATCATGGCCTCAACAGTAACTAGCTTTATTGGTTGTTTATAGTTCCTTCTTTTATCATGAATTTTAGAAGTCACATGGCCAAGCAATAGAGAGCACCTCTGACACATTGGTCAGGAAGGTGATGGTGGCCCACAAAGTTTTATAGGAACTTGAACGTCACTCAAACCTGTTGAAGTCACCCACCCTTCATGTGGGTTTATACAAGTGTCTGATATGACCATTTGACTTCAAATAGACCACAGACACCCTCAGATGACACTGATGGAACCATTTTCTGAACAAGCTTCCTTTCTATGAGAACCAAGAGGTTTGATTACATGTGTGAAGAGTGCCAATGACTACACTATTCAGTTCCCTCTTCTCATGCCTCAGACCACAGTGTTTATTTATCACATACATAAATACTTGCATCTGGGCTGGAGAGATGGCTCAGAGGTTAAGAGCACCAGCTGCAGGCCCTGCCCTGGATGAAATGACAGACTCAAGAGATCCTCCATGGAGGGCCTCACCCTCCTTGAGGAATGGTGTGGGGATTAGGTAAGGGGGGCTGTGGGGACTGGTGGAAGAGCAAGGGAGGAGGGGTGGGAAAGGGAGCTGGGACTGATATGTGAAGCAAGTTTGTTTCTAATTTAAATTAAAAAAAAAAAGAGCACTGGCTGCTTTCCAGAGGTCCTGAGTTCAATTCCCAGCAATTACATGGTGACTCACAACCATCCGTAATAATATCTGATGCCCTCTTCTGGCCTGCAGGCATACATGCAGGCACAACGCTACATGTTATTTTTAAATAAATAAACAAACAAATAAATACTTGCATCTTAAACTGTATCCTCAAAGAAGCAGAGCTGAGTCTTGGGTTCTCACCTCATGATATTCAACTGTTTACAAATTCTATTTTGCAGGGTGTGTGTTTGTTTAGTGATTAGAAGGACCAAAGCCCAGCAGGCAAAAAGGCCTATGACACTATCACACAGACAGGTCTACTTCCTCACCACACTTCTCTTTAAGCCTCCATAGAACCTAGCATCCATCCTCCATCAGGTGCTGACGTTAGTATTCAATCCTAGTACACCTGTAAAGTAGTATGTGAGCTGTAAAAAATGTTATCAATAAAAGATCTGCGCTTCGGTACTGTTTATTTTGCATTTTATTCTTTCATTTGCATTTGGTATTTTGCCTGCATGTATGTCTGTGTGAGAGTGTCATATCTCAAGGTTACAGACAGCCGTAAACTGCCATGTGGGTGCTGGGAATTGAACCTGGGTCCTCTGGAAGAACAGCCAGTGCTCTTAACTGCTGAGCCATCTCTGCAGTCCTTGCATTTTATTCTTACACATGTCACTTGTTTCCAAAGCTATTTAGTCCCCTTTAATGAGTTTGCTTCAGGGACTGGGAAAGTAGTTCAGGTCATATAATATGCTAGCAAGCATGAAGGCCTGGGTGTGATCTTCAGTACCAAATAAAATGTCATGGTAGCATAATCTCCGTAATCATAGTACTTGGAAAGTAAAGGTAGGAAATGCAAAGCCATCTTGAACTGCACTAGCAAGTTTGAAGCTTTGCTACATGAGACCCTGTCTGGCTAACAATACTTAAATAAGTTTGTTTCATATATTTTAGTGTAGTTAAATTGTTTTGTGACTTTCTGCATTCCACCCTGAGTTCTCCCACTGTGGTAGTTTGAATAAGAATGGTCACCATAAGCTCACAGATTTCAAAGTTTGGTCACCAGGGGATGGCACTGTTAGGAGGTGTGGCCTTGTTGGAGGAAGTGTGTTACTAGAGGTGGGCTTTGAGGATTCAAATGCTCAAGCCAGGCTCAGTGTCTTATTCTCGCTTCCTGCTGCCTGCTGATCCAGATGTATAGCTCTCGGCTCCTTCTCCAGTGCCATGTCTGCTTGTGCGCCATCATTCTTCCCACCATTGCAACAATGAACTAAAACTCTGAACCTGTAAGCCAGCCCCAATTGAATGTTTTCCTTTATAAGAGTTGCCATAGCCGGGCGTTGGTGGCACACGCCTTTAATCCCAGCACTTGGGAGGCAGAGGCAAGCGGATCTCTGTGAGTTCGAGGCCAGCCTGGTCTACAAGAGCTAGTTCCAGGACAGCCTCCAAAGCCACAGAGAAACCCTGT